TGTCTGTCTGTCTTCTATCTATCTATCTATCTATCTATCTATCTATCTATCTATCTATCTATCATCTGTCTGTATTTCTCTATCTGTCTTCTGTCTATCATCTGTCTGTCTGTCTTCTATCCATCAGTCTGTCTGTCTGTCTATTTATCTATCTATCTGTATCTATCTATCTATCTACCTATCTATCTATCTATCTGTCTGTCTATTTATCTATTTATCTATTTATCTGCCTTCTGTCTATCATCTGTCTGTCTTCTATCCATCTATCTGTCTGTCTGTCTATCTATCTATCGATCTATCTATTTATCTATCTATCTGCCTTCTGTCTATCATCTGTCTGTCTGTCTGTCTATCTATCTATCGATCTATCTATTTATCTATCTATCTGCCTTCTGTCTATCATCTGTCTGTCTGTCTGTCTATCTATCTATCGATCTATCTATTTATCTATCTATCTGCCTTCTGTCTATCATCTGTCTGTCTGTCTGTCTATCTATCTATCGATCTATCTATTTATCTATCTATCTGCCTTCTGTCTATCATCTGTCTGTCTGTCTGTCTATCTATCTATCGATCTATCTATTTATCTATCTATCTGCCTTCTGTCTATCATCTGTCTGTCTGTCTGTCTATCTATCTATCGATCTATCTATTTATCTATCTATCTGCCTTCTGTCTATCATCTGTCTGTCTGTCTGTCTATCTATCTATCGATCTATCTATTTATCTATCTATCTGCCTTCTGTCTATCATCTGTCTGTCTGTCTGTCTATCTATCTATCGATCTATCTATTTATCTATCTATCTGCCTTCTGTCTATCATCTGTCTGTCTGTCTGTCTATCTATCTATCGATCTATCTATTTATCTATCTATCTGCCTTCTGTCTATCATCTGTCTGTCTGTCTGTCTATCTATCTATCGATCTATCTATTTATCTATCTATCTGCCTTCTGTCTATCATCTGTCTGTCTGTCTGTCTATCTATCTATCGATCTATCTATTTATCTATCTATCTGCCTTCTGTCTATCATCTGTCTGTCTGTCTGTCTATCTATCTATCGATCTATCTATTTATCTATCTATCTGCCTTCTGTCTATCATCTGTCTGTCTGTCTGTCTATCTATCTATCGATCTATCTATTTATCTATCTATCTGCCTTCTGTCTATCATCTGTCTGTCTGTCTGTCTATCTATCTATCGATCTATCTATTTATCTATCTATCTGCCTTCTGTCTATCATCTGTCTGTCTGTCTGTCTATCTATCTATCGATCTATCTATTTATCTATCTATCTGCCTTCTGTCTATCATCTGTCTGTCTGTCTGTCTATCTATCTATCGATCTATCTATTTATCTATCTATCTGCCTTCTGTCTATCATCTGTCTGTCTGTCTGTCTATCTATCTATCGATCTATCTATTTATCTATCTATCTGCCTTCTGTCTATCATCTGTCTGTCTGTCTGTCTATCTATCTATCGATCTATCTATTTATCTATCTATCTGCCTTCTGTCTATCATCTGTCTGTCTGTCTGTCTATCTATCTATCGATCTATCTATTTATCTATCTATCTGCCTTCTGTCTATCATCTGTCTGTCTGTCTGTCTATCTATCTATCGATCTATCTATTTATCTATCTATCTGCCTTCTGTCTATCATCTGTCTGT